TAAAGAAACTCTGGGATGAATTGAATTGTTTGGTGCTTATTCCTGTATGTCAATGTGGATCTAAATGTAGATCAGCTAAGACTCTAGTAAAAATTAGGGATTTTAGCAGGCTAATGCAGTTCTTGATGGGACTTAATGATGTATTTGACAATGTAAGGAATCAAGTTTAGTGATGGAACCACTGCTTAGTGTGAATAAGGCCTATTCAATGGTCTTACGTGTGGAGAAATAGAAAGAAGTATATGTAATGTTTGCTGACAATATTGAGAATACTACAATTTTGGCTAGATTGCAATTCTTGAACAAGGAAAAGACAAGAGGAAATAAGAAGAAAGGTAGTTCTAAAAGAACTAATAAAGGATAAAAATATAAAAGACAATGTGATCACTATAAGGCCAATGACCATACTAAGGATTCTTGTTTAAGTTGATAGGCTATCCGGATTGGTACAAGGAACTACAACAGCAAAGAGAACAGAAAACTAAGAATGGAGGTTGAAAGTCTTTTGCAAATGCAGTTTCTACATAAACAAAATGAGATGAAGTAGATAAAGGAGGTTGGAAGAATACTATGGCAAATATTATACGATAAGAGATAATAAGGTTCTTGAAGGGAAAAAGGACCAATGAGGGGAATGGAAATAACAACCTGGAGAACTTTGCACATTTCCATGATTTTGCGAGTACTATTCTTAACTATGCATTAAATTCTCTTGAACTGCTAGAACCTGGATCATCGATAATTGACACAAGTGCATCCGATTATATGTGTAACTGAAATTACCTTATTTCTTGAACCACAACCAATTACAAACCTACACCAGTTTATTTACCATGTGGATCAATAAAATTGGTTCATCATGTGAGAAATGTGTCATTATCAAATAACTTAATTCTTACAGAAGCCCTTCATGTACCTACCTTCCATTTCAACCTATTATCTATTAACAAAGTTACTAAAACTGCATGCATAAAATTTGAGTTTTATTCAACTCATTGTGTTTTACAGGACCTTTGGACTATAAAAGTGTGGGCCAGTGGACAAGTAATTGGTAGATTATACATACTGAACTAAAAATCCTTCAGCTTAACTACTATCTAGCAATATACTAACCAATTTCACATAAAAAGTGTTATATCCAGAAATAAATTTGTTGTATCCAGAAATGTAATCTGGCATAATAGATTAGACATCCTTCCAATTCTATAGTCACACACATTCATCAAATAAATTATCTCAAATTTTTATATCCATTTCCTTGTGATGTCCATCATTCTTCCAAACAACATAGACTTTTTTTTCCCATTAGTTTTATTCATACTACAGCAGTGTTTGATCTATTACATATTGATATATGGGGCTCTTATCATGAAAATTCAATTTTAGGGGCACATTATTTTCTCGTAGTAGTAGATGATTATAGTAGAAGCACTTGGACCATTCTCATGAAATACAAATCTCAAACTTATAATGTTTTGAAAAACATGTTTCTCATGATCAAAAATCAATTTTAGAAAACTATCAAAACTATAAGAACATATAATGGTGTGGAATTCACTAGTAATCAAACTCAAAAAATTTGGTTGCACAACTAGGAATTCTACATCAGAAAACATGTGTATACACTTCACAACAGAATGGAGTTGTGGAGCAAAAACATAAGCATTTGCTTCAAGTAACTCATGCTTTGATGTTTCATTTAAGTTTACCTAAACAGTTTTGGGACTATGTTGTATTAATTGCAACATATTTGATAAGTAGACTACCTACCCCAGTGCTGTCTTGGAAGACTCCATATGAGGTTTTGTTTTCAAAATAACCAAATTATGAATTTTTAAAGGTTTTTGGATGTCTTTGTTTTGCAACAAATGTTTTACCACATAAAACAAAATTTAATACAAGAGCTATCAAATCTGTTTTCATTGGATATTGTTCAGGTCAAAAGGTATACATTTTATATGATTTACAGAACCATGAAGTCTTTTTATCAAGAGATGTTTTATTTCATGAGAATGTTCTATCATATGCAAATGAACATACTACTGATCATTCAGTTTCTCTACCACAAATACAACTTGATACACCATCTACTCCTTTTGATGTTTTTGATTCTATCTCTTCACGTATTTCAAATACAACTTCAACTTTATCACAAAATTTACCAGAACCCAATATAAATTATATTACTAATCCAATAACATCATAACCTGCTCCTCAAATAAGAAGAAGCACAAGAACCAAACATACACCAAGTTGGCTGAATGATTTTGTGTCCACAGTTGTTCATTTTGATTCAATTACAACATTTAGGGACAACACTTTTCTTATAGGATCCTGTAAATCACAGTATACTCCAAACACCTACCCTTATACACACTCACCCATATTTTCTTATGAACATACATCATTCCTAGCCAATTTGTCAACTGTATATGAACCAAGTTCTTATAGTCAAGCAATAATTCAACAAGAATGGGTTAGTGCTATGCAGAATGAATTACAGGCAATGGAGAATAATGAGACATAGAAAATAACTGATTTACCTCCTGAAAAAAAGGCAATTGACAGTAAATGGGTATATAAAATTAATTGAATCCTGATAGCACAGTGAACAAGTATAAGGCTAGTTGGTAGCCAAAGGTTACAACCAAGTGGAAGGGGTGGATTACTTTGATAGTTTTTCTCCTGCTACAAAAACAGTCATAGTGAGAATTTTGTTAACTATTGTTGCAGCAAAACAGTGGCCTTTGTATCAACTAGATATTAACAATGCTTTTCTGTATGGTTACTTAGATGAAGAAGTTTACATGTTACCACCTGAAAGTTATGATAAAACCGTTGGGAAACAAGTTTGCATATTGAAACGATCCTTACATGGACTGAAATAGGCATCACACCAATGGAATCATGAGTTTACTACTAAGCTACAGCAGTATGGCTTCCTACAGTCAAGTCATGATCACTGCTTGTTTATCATGTCTACATCTAACTTTTTCTTAGCACTTATAGGATATGTGGATGATGTCTTAATTACTAGTTCTTCTGCTGCTGAAATAGATAAAGTCAAGATATTCTTAAATCAGCAATTTACTATAAAAGATCTTAGTCAAGCAAAGTATTTCTTGAGCTTAGAATTTGCTCGCTCAGATGCTAGCATCTATGTTAACCAGCGTAAATATGCATTAGATATCATTAAAGATGCAAAATTGCTGGGAGCAAAACCTGCACCAACTCCTTTACCTAAGGGACACAACTTCTCTGCTATATAGGACTCTCCATTACTAGAGCCTAATTAGTACCGCAGATTAGTGGAGAGACTGTTGTATCTTAGATTCACAAGACCTGATCTTACATATGCGGTTCAGCAATTAAGTCAGTTTATTTCTAATCCACATAAGACACAATGGGAAGCAGCAATTCATGTACTCCGGTATCTCAAAGGATGTCCTTCTCAAGACCTCTTCTTTTTACTGTTAGTGACCTTAAATTGGAAGCATATTATGATGCAGATTAGGCATCTTGCCCTGATACAAGACGATCACTTACAGGTTATTGCATTTTCCTTGGAACGTCTCTAGTTTCATAGAAAACAAAAAAACAAACTACTGTGTCTAGATCTTCTGCAAAGGTAGAATATAAAAGTATGGAAGCTACACTTTGTGAGTTACAATGGCTCACTTACATCCTGCATGATTTACGTATTTATGTGCTTCTTCCTATTTAACTCTACTGTGAAAATCAAGTTGTTTTGCACATTGCAGCAAATCCAGTCTTCCATGAGAACACAAAGCATTTATAAATTGATTGTCACTTAGTCAAAGATAAATTCAAGCAAGGATTCATCGTGCCTAAATATATTTCAACTCGGCTACAGGTAGCTGACATCTTTACAAAATCCCTTGCTGCTCTTTTCTTCTCACAGTTTGTTTCCAAGTTGGGCGTATATGATCTTCATAAAGCTTCAACTTTAGGGGGGGGGAGGGAATGTAAACTTAATTAGTTAGCTAATCAGTTAGTCAGTTAGTTAACTAATCAATTAGCTAGTTAGAAATTAGTTGTAAATTAGTTGTTAACTGTTAGTGTAACTCAGCAGATTAGTTTTTTTCTCATCATTATCATAACTGTATATAAATAAAACGTTAGTAAATGAAGAGTTAAAAGATCAGTAACTCATTCTTCATTTTTGAGCTATTCTCTCAAATTATTTTCTCCTAGATTGAAATTCTTGACAGTTCTCCCTACCGAAGCCGATATTTCAAGGTAGATTCATGACTATGCACCACATTGTTTCTTCCTCTAGTCATATACTTCCCCTTTATCCATGTATAGACTCAGTTGACTATATTCCTGTAACTGTACCATTTCCTGCTTGTTTTGCTTAATCTGATTTTTGATGTTTTGCCCTACCTTCTCTTTTCTTGATGGAATAATATCCTGCTTTTTGCTTAATCTGATTTTTGATGTTCTGCACTACCTTTTCTTTTCTTGATGGAGTAGTAGTTCATTTAAGTCTTCGCCCATTGCCCATTACTTTTCATAAGGTTCGATTAAATCCCAGATTGTGTGTTTCTGGTTAAAAAACCTATAAAGTCCTTGACAGCCCCCATCAAATTTGATTGTCATTTTTGTGTTTGACACTGAACATTTTTGAAGTAGAACAGACCTTTCATTTTTTCCATTTCTTGATTTGGAGAGAATTGTTGCTACAACTACAATTCTCTCCAAATCTAGTACTCTCCTCACCATCTTTCTTTTCCTTTACTTTTTCCTTCAAAAGAAAAGGATTGGCCTATATTTTACTTTTATTAATATTAATCTCTGTAAAAATACTTATTCTTAAACACATTGAATCTCTTAACCTCAAGTATAGAGTTGATCCCTCAGGCATAACCTGCAGCATTAACAAGATTAAAGACCAAACAGGTAACTTCCCATACACAACACATTCTAGTTAACTCCATAACCTTTCTGTGAATATAAATATAATAACATCACTCGAGTAAACCAAATAGAACACTTACTATTCTTTTATATGAATAACAGAAGAAAATTCCAGTGAATTGCCACACACATACACCAGGCATTGGATTTTATGTATTTCTCCAACAATGCCCACAAATTCATTCATTTCTTGCCTTACACCTTGGAGGTGTTATAGCTTCCTGTCTCATTTCCATAAAAGCAGGCAATTGTAAGAAGATGAAATTTCAGAATGAATGCGGAAAAACAAGAGACACAAGCAAACTACTATACAGGCAACACAAGCTACTGGTGGCAACCCATCCTTTCTTCATTCATCACCTCCGCTGTTCACTTTTATCTCCAAAAGCCTCTCAACTGGTTGTCTGCAAATCGGGCATCGGTTTGTTTGGAACCTTAAAACCTTGGCACACCCGCTGCACATACACTGCAACAATACCAGACCACAAAGAATAAACTCTTAAAACCTTTTTCTTTTTCTGGGGTTTAAAAACATTTAAAACCTGATATCCAGAGCTGTTATGCAACCAATTTCTCAGTTGTTTACATGACAACGATACTGAACTAAAACAGAATCTGACAATACACCCAGTGTTGTAATCCATTACATTGAACATATCTCAACCTAGGCCTTCCCACACTTTCTACCAAGTTAAACAAGCAACCACACTTTGAAAGCTTTTTCATTGGCAAAATCTCTTTCTACAGATAATTCAAAAAGTTTTTTTTTTGCACGAAAAATAAATAACAAAACATTAGAATAATCTGAATTAGCCTAACTTGGAAAAGTAATTTATTTTAGAATCCACTTTATCTTTGTAAATATAACTGTATCTTTATAATATAGAAGTTAATAAAGAAGTCATAAATAGAAAAGGAATGATTTCCATTCCCTAACATTTTGAACTGATTGATTTTATTTACTCAATTCAAAAATCAAATAGAAAATAAAGCTTTTGTATAATTTTTTCTACAATTCAATCAACAAAGTTTAATGAAAATCAAAACTATGAATAGACAAAGAAGTTAATTCTAAGACTTCAATGTATGAGGTCAGAGTCAACAATAAAATCTTGGTGAGATTAGTGTAATTTACACAAAATGTGAGACTTCCCTCCCTAAAACGAGAAAGAACTTACATGATTATAAATGTACTTAGATGTAATTGGAAATTAAATTAGTTTTCATTTTCCAGACAAGTTTCTTCAGTTTTATGAAATCTGTATAGAAAAAGATATCAAGCTTACCATGTGCCGGCAAGGGAGAACAGTTGTGTCACGAGGCTCTGAGAGGCAGATAACACATTCTTTTCCTGGATCATTTGCATCAACATCACCATCAACTGAATTACCAATTCCATATATCTCTTGCAACTCATATCTCATTCCATTCACCCATAGGATCTGCTTCACTAACCTCACCTGGTATTCACCTTTCTCCTTATCAAATATTCCTTGTGTTATCTGAGAGTTCATGCCTCCAGACTCTGAGCTTCCATCCGATCCATTTTCGTTAACTGGAGATGCTTCTGCTTTCACAGCCAGAGGAAAGACATCCATCTCACCTTCCTTCATCAACTCCGCCTCCTCGAATATTGAGAAGTCAATCCCTGTTCCAGAAGGCTGTCTGAACTTCTGTCCAAGACCTTGTTCAAAATTGACTGTCACTGGTGGAAGAAGGTCTTCTTTCATTGCTCTCAGGTTGCAGTCCTCACCTTCTTTCGCAAAGAAAATAACAGTTATGCTGTTTGTGGAGCACAAAGAAAAACGCAACTGTTATTTTGAATCAATAACAGAGAACTAGCATGAAAAAGTACATAGCTGTTAACTCAAGCAAATAACAGAAATATATTTGAACCTCAATGACATCGACAAAGTAATATTTAGAAAAAAAAAAGGCACAAGAAAGGGAATCATTCACAAAAATGACCACTGTAGCTCGATTTGTATCTTATACAACTGACTTCAACCATAAGAAAAGAACACACTCGCCCAACTTCTGAAGCCCAATCAGGAGCCAACTGTTTTCAGATAATTGCCACAACAGATCACTAGACAACATAACAAATGATGGGTTTTCCTTTCATCCCTTAATTCAAGTGGAAATAGATTACCAAAATACTTCGCAACACACATGATCTCTTATCAGTAAATTAACATGACAGCAAAAAGATACCATTTTCATTGGAGACACTATGCTAAAAGGCATCCACAACAAACATTAGCAAGCCAAATTGATCACAAAAAGAAATATATAACCTAATAGAAGGAGATTCGCATCAAATTCGGTTGAGTGATCAATTTATACAAAACATCTTCCCTTCCAAGCTGCCAAATTATTAGTATGGGGGCACATCAAGTTACACAACTATTACGATAAATCCTCTCTATATAAAATCTTCCTCTAGACGGCCTATCAAGTGCAGAAGTAAATTTCCATATTAGACATTTCCAAGGACGAGAGTTCACTTCTGATCAACCAGAAACTCTATAACCTACATAGTAACCCAGAATTCCAGACCCTATGCATATAGAAGCAGTTAACAAATAATCAAAAGTTTTGCATAGAAAAAATCCTTGAAATTTTCAACTCCAGAATTTCATTGCATGAGATTCATTTAAACAACCAAATCACAAAATAATCAAATAATAAAATTAAAGCATAGAAAAATTTAAGTAGAGCTATTGCGTCGTTTGATTACCTTCCGGCAACAGTAGCATCAAACGTGAATGTCACCAAAAATCGACCCGGGTTCTCTTCATCAGCTTCCAATCTCAAAGTTTCCTTCTTCAAATTAACGTCGTTGCGTATTGTGACGGCCTTCTGATGCTCAACGTAGGGCAGCGGTGGGGGCATCATCGGCCCACATGCGTACCTACCACCCGCCCAATTGGCGGGTTCCATGCCGCGCTGAGGATGATGATGGTAGTGGTGATGATCATAAGGCGCCGGTAGTGGGACCGGCATGGCGGGAGGTGGAGGCGGGTAGTATCCCGGGTATTGGTAGTACTGAGTAGCGTTAGGGTTAGGATATTGGGTTGGGTACGGCGTGGCGGCAGCGAACACATATCGGTTGGCAGAGATTTCCGGCTGAGGAGGCGCCGGAGGAGGCTGCGGCGGCGGGTGGCTCCGGCGACTACCGTGTCTTCTTCTCCCATTAACACCGCTGCTACTAATATTCCCCATGGTTCTTCCCTCCCAACTTGACCCTTTTCTTCTCTGTTTTCAGAAGATAGAAAAATGGATCTGGGTATTACAGAGAGAAACTTCTAACGAAAACAGGGAAAGGCGTGCTCCTTGCTCTGAAACAGAGAGAGGGAGAGATATGATGAGAGAGGGTATTACAGTAAAGAAAGAAGAAGAAAAAATAACGAAAAGGGGAAGGATAGAGAGAGATGAAATATGGAAGATAGGGAAGGAATCTGAGAAAATGTGGTGATGGGTATAATGGGATTGCGTAAAGCTCCACCCAAACCACCATCAATGGTGAAGTGACGGGAATAGCGATTATGCTAAAGTGAACCCAACCGCTTTTTCTTCTTTTTTTCTCTTTTAATAATTAATTATTTTTAATTGACGAAAATGTCCTCAAGAAGATTTCTTCCCAGATTCTGCGTATGTCGCCGTCCATGCCAAATACAGACACCGTAGCCGTAGGCGAAAGCTTTATTTTTTTTTTTCATGAATACTAGAAGTCTATTATATAAATATATGTAAAAGAAACTGGACACATGTTTGTTTTTAATTTTGTTATATATTATTTGATTTTCTCAATTTATTTATTATATACATAAGAGTTTTTTTTTAATAATATAAAGTTTTGATTGATAACAATTAATAAGAAGATCTTTATAACATCTAAATTAATAAGACTTAGATACATTCTAATTAAGAGTATCATTATTGTTTTTTTGTCATTCACAAACTGAAATTTTGGTTTAATATTTATACCTAACAGTTTGGTAAAGATAAAAGTTCTGAAAAAGAAACAATTATCTGAAATGGTTAATGTTTAAAGTTCATGTGAAACTAAAATATACATGAACTTAAAGCAAACAAATAAATAAATTTAAACAATCTCTAAAAAAATTAAAATATCATCAGATAAAGTAATAAATAAGACTTGAACTCAGCATGTCTACTATATAATGGAAGTACACTGTTATCTGAATCAAATTCATTTTGTCATTGCAAGTTATATTATTTAAAAAAAAAAAACTTTAATAAAATAAATTATTTTTAAAAGAAAAGAACTACCAATTTCAGAAACAAGTACTCCAAAAGAAATATGTATTTTTAAATTTTTTTCAAATAAGCCCTTATAAACTAATAATCCACATAACAACACTAGACGGACAGCGGTGCAACCACGTGAATATTTAGAATTTAAGATAGTTATCAAGCTAACTATATATTATGAAGAATAAAATAACTTTGAAGCTCACATGCAATTTGTATTTTTTTTAGATAAGCATTTGTATTACGATAGAACTCAAAGTCTAAAATGTAAAAAATATATATTGAATTCCTATTTAGCACTCTAATAAAAACAATAAAATAAAAACTTGTAAACAAACATAAATTGTGACTCTTTTCTCTTGAATAATTATTAAAATCTTGAAGAATTGTGCCAACTCCTTTTTGAAGTACTATGCTCAGTTTAGACTATTTATTTTAATAATTTTTGCGTGTGTTGAAGATAAAATAAGATCCAATCATTGACTTTGAAGGACAAAGAGTCTTATCCTTGTTCTAATTGGAGTTGAATTTTGTCCATGGAGTGAAAAAGAGTGGTACCCCAAACAAGACTTATAATAATTCGATTCTTTTTCTCTTATATCAACAAAGACTCTAAATTGATGAAAGACTCTTAGTTTTAATGATGTTAAACTTTTGAAACCCACCCACACTTTATAGGATAAAGATTCTTGAACCCTTCAAAGATTTATTTTAAGTTGCAAACCATTCATAAGGATAGTTGTGTTCGATTGTGGAAGAATGAATAACCAAGTGTCAAATATCGTTAGGACTCTTAAAAAAATGAATGTCTGATTATGACTCTCTCAAGAAGAGTGGATGGCTCCCTTATGTGAAATATTCAAGAATTCATGATTGATGAGTGTCCAATTATGATCTTTCCAAGAAGAATGGATGAATCCCTCATGTGAAATATCCAAGAGTCCATGATTGGGAGGACTCTTTTGGCCATTTACTTGTAATCATCTTATAGAAGATTTATTGCCTAAATTCCCATGCTTGAAAGACTCCTTGTTGGATGAACTAACATGTGTTTTAATATACTTTGTAATTCCATCCAAACTATCTATGATAAGAGGAGTGAATGGCAAGGAGATCTTGGCCAAGGGTCTAAGATTTTGATACTCTTTATGTCTATCATGTGGATAATTACTTGGTCGAATATCTTTAAGCTTTAAGACACCTTAAGGCTTGATTTTGATGATAAAAACTCCTGAAAAAGGGCTCTCTACAAGTCCACAACATGTAGGACTCCTTGTTGTTCGGGTTTTTTGGATTTTTGCTCAGTCATCCCTCCTTCAAAATGATTCGTTCTTGAATTATGACCTTTTCATGTAGTGGTTTAATTAACTCCACTTAAAATCCCATAAGAAAAACACAACACCACTAGATAAAAATGGGTTATGGTTAGATAAACATTCTTTTCTATTTTTTTTCACAAAGGGGTCATCATCAATTTTCTTCTTTCCCTCGACATCAATTTTCTTTTCTCTGACAACATCAATTTTTTGTTCTCCTATGACATCAATTTATTTCTCTCTCGTGACATTAGTTTTCTTTTCCCCCTTGGCATCTTTCTCCTTTTCTCCTACATCATTATTCTCTTTTTTTCCCACGACTTCTTTTCTCTCTTCAAGTGATTTGTTGATCCTTTGATTGATCTTTGAACACTTCCTTAGGTGATAAAAAAGTAAAAAATAGGTTTTTGATCGTTCAAAAGAGAGGGATAGTGATCTCTAAGGCTATCGTGGATTACATATCTTTCTTTTCGCCAAGATCGTTGAAGTAATATATGAGTAATATGCATGGGCACAACATCACATAGAACTTTATCAATAAATCCTCCAATAGTAAAAGAAACTAATACCTACTTAAACACTTCAACCTCCCCATATCCATGCAGTAATTATAACTTTTAAGTGCATCCCAAGCTTAGCTTTTTCAACCACCATAAGACTAACCGCATTGGTGTAGTTCATCAATTTGTATGATTAGGAGAGCTAATATTGCATTAATTCATTAGGAGGGTCAATTTTGATTTTTCCCCACATGAATGATTCATTTTTAGTTTCCTCTTATCATGTTATCTTTTCTAGTTAATGGATGGTTACTAATCTTTATTAAGGTTATAAATGCAAGTCTTCAAGGTAATTTTGATTTTCTTAAGGCTCTATTTGGAATTTTCAAGTTTTCTTAGGAAAGAAACATTTTTATTAGAGATTGACAAAGAACATTCTTCAACTTAAACTCCATTAACAACATGCCTATGATGCTAGATGAAATATTAGATAATTTATTCTAGAAATGCTTTTACGGGTTTTAAATGTGGAGAGTGAACTCGCTTCGACTTGGTAGGGTAGGTTTATTATATGGTGATTTTGATTCTTGGTTCAAGAATATGTTAAAATATCTATTAAAACATCTAATGTGGGAGTTTAAGGTAAGGAACCATTAGATATTTAAGAAGGTAGGAATTTTTGCTTTAAAACTATTAATCACTTAAAGGAGGAACTGTTAGAAGTTTTAAGACCTTAAAGAGTCGATGACTAGTAATTTAAAGTGAACAAAAGCAATATACTCGAGTTCCATGTAAGTTAATTTAGAACTATAAGAGTATAACATGTGATATCCCATATGCTAAATAAGGCATATGGGTGTCAGATGTAGAAACAAAATTACCATTGCATGATAAAAATTATATGCACCGAAGCAAATTAATACAAATATCTTATAAATACATGAGTTCTAATTACATATATATAACTGATGCCAGAAGTGGTTGCAATATAAAATCAAAATACAAAAGAGGGTCACTTCTTTCACTATGCTATTGGACTCATTAGAGTGTGGGAACGATCATCCACTTAAGTTTTATGGATCCACGGGATCCTTATAAACTTCAATTGATAGGTCAGCTGGTGGTTCTTCATTTTCTTCCTCATCTGGGGAGGGGGCATAGAAAGAGTGAGTTTTATATGCTCAGTAAGAAAAATAATATTTAAATAACATTGTAAGGTTTTAAAGGTGAATTATTCTAACATAAATACTTACCACTTACCATTTAGCTACTTTGTAGACCTATCTTACATTATGAAAATAATTTATTTATTAGAAAAATATTATGCTAATATAATTAAAACAAACACACATCACACAAGATAATAGAAAAAATCAAATAAATCATGAAATGCTCATATTTTTGTGTCACGCTTCGCGAAGTCATTACGGCTTCCATCTTTGAAGGCAAATACAGATTTCAAACTATTTAAGTGGAATGACCAGATTAGATACAAATAACGGTAATTTGCTGAGGCATATTTTCGGCTTGCTAAACCATAGTATGATCTATGACCACAGTTGTACCAACCATAATGGTCATATCAGATATTCTATAGTCATGATAGTACTTATCCAAATATGACCCTTAATAGATATTCGCGTTACCACTCTCGTTAGAGAATACACCGTCATCTACAGGGAGTGATCCTCTTACGTATTTTTAGACCAAATGGAGGAAGGAAAAATAAATACCCCGAATGGGGTTAGGGGAACAGATACTCCTTAGAGATAAAAGGTCTAATGAAATATTTGATACACTATACATGTCATTACATAAACATACTCGAACCATTCATGTTTCATTTCACATTTCTCCTTTTTTTGTTTCTTTTTATTTTTCAGCTAACCTTACCAATTTTATATTATTTTAATTGCGTGCAAATCATCAAGTATCTATAAATCACATAGCATGCTGGAAATCAAGAACAATTCAACTTCTTAGACCTATAAACACAAAAGCATGCAAAAAAATAAATTATCAATTTAATAATTTTTTTGGTCTAAAAATATGTCTTAAAATGTTTTAAAAAATACTAAATTCCTTACTGAAATCTTGACAGTTCCTTCTACACTATTATTCCTTTCTTCCTCTCCTTTTCTTTCTATATCACTTTCTCTCACTTTCTCTCTCTAATTCTTAAAAGGTAGATGAATGGAAGTGTAAGAAAAATGAGAAGGAAGGGCCCCTATTTATATAAATTAGGAGCTGTTGGATTTACGTCAAGTGGAAAAATTTGTTGAAGAGAGAGAAAAAAAGATGCTTGACATAAAATATGGAGATAAAGATCTCTTCCACCATCCCACCGCTGCCGGCGGTGCACCCCCCGAGATGAGCAATGGCACATTGCCCGAGGCGGTATGGCTTCCTTGCCCTACGCGTTGTAGGCTAGCCTGCAGGTGCACGGTCCAACCTGCTGCACG